TCCTGGTGTTGTCTCTGGGGCCCTATCTTTTCAACAAAATTGTCGCTCTGATCAAAAAGCAAGTAGATGCCCTATTAGCAAAGCCTATACAGGTACACTACCATTGCCTGGACCTGCAAGAGGGAGCCCATGATGAAATGATACGTTATGGCGCCGCTTTCAGTCGCACCCCCTGAGAGCTGAGTTGGACAGTCAATGATGGGTACGAGAGTGACTCCCCCCAAAAAACCACCTAAGAGAGGAAGGCCGCCTGAGCTGCTGCCTAATCCCATGATGGGTGTGTAAACTGGGGATGATCATTCCAATCTAAGACAGGCACAACTCCCTAGGGGTTATAATTCTCATGGCTCCAACTTATTAATTCTCATGGCTTTTACTTATAAACAGAAAAGGAGATGTGGGAGACCACGCTGCCTGGCAGCCCTCCCTCCCCCCGAGGGCAAGCAGCCTCCAGAGAACTTGCTGATCAGTCCTCCCTGCCCCCTAAGATAAGCAACCTTTCCAATGATTCAAGATAAGCCTGAGCAACCACCAATTTCCTTATCCTGCAACCAGACTCAGGGCGCCAGTTCCCCTCATCCGAAGGGACGTTCATTAACCTGTTGAGACAACACCTTCCCTTCCTCTTCCTCAGCTAATTTCCCGCTTCAGCCCATATAAGAATCCCCGTGGAAAAATAAACTTTGGCAGCTTGATCAGAGTTCTTTGTCTTGCTGTCATTCTTTGTGTCTCTTGTCCCATCATTCCAGGTCCCTGGGAGTTCAAGTCTCCGTCTCCCACCCTGCAGGCCGGGGCAAGCTCCCTCAATCCTTGTTTTTTCCTGCCCTCAGTGAAAACATCCAGATTTCTTTGTTCAAGGATTTTCTTGCCCTATATCCTGTGTGTACAGGAAACTACTTATGTGCTGCCACAGTTCCCTCTTTGGCATGGGAGGCACCAATTTGTTTTGTCAACAGGAGTGTTATTTGATGACAGTTTGCAATTGCCTCCATCTGTAAGAATTGCCTCGCTAAAGGGAACAATGATGACCACAGTATTTATCAATATGTGAGGGTCACATAATTTGTGTAGCTCTAAAGCCTATTGCCAGTTTTGGAAAGGTAATAGAGCAAGCATTTGTACTATCACATCTAGAGAAAACATTGGTGTTCTGTCATTTGCACACAGGGAAATTTATCAAGTGTACGAACTGCAAAAACTCTGGAGCAACTAATCACTGAGTCTTATTAATGTAAGAACTCTTATATTTCATCTTTCCATGGAAATTTCTTTCTTCTCTCTTCCTTTTGGAAGATATGGTATGAAGTTTGTTATTGTGAGAGATTTCTCACTGGGCCCAGTTTACAGCTGTGGCCAAGATGCTAACAGACAGAAAACACGCACATTTGATGGGCCGCATAAAGGAACCCAAATATTTAATTCCCAGAGATTTGTCATAGTCCAAATGTTTGTATTTTTCCAAATTCATTTGTTGGAATTTTAATCTCTAAGAGTTAGGGTGGGGTTGAGAGGTGATTATATCATGGGCATAGTAAGACGGTACCTTGGATTGAACTTTCATTAAATATTACATATGCTATCACTTGTAAGCTTTATTTCTTACAGCCTCTAGAGCTGTGAGAGATAAGTTTGTGCTGTTTACAGGCACCACAATTGTATTGTGGTATTTTGCAGGATTTTTTGAGGCAGGTCTTTTTTGAAATTTACCTTAAAAAATTTTAATAACTACATGATTAGAAGAAGCATTTCATTACAGCTTTAACACATTCAGCAACACACACCAGAGCAAGAGTACATCTCTTTTACAAGTAGGTGTAAGTTTCTAGGTTCACAGTTGAATTAATACAGTTATACAATATTGAACTCAGTATAAGCCCTGTAAGACATAAAATTGAATGAATTTTTAACCTTTAAAAAAGATCTCCATTTCATTTTAGAATATATTGTTCCTTGCAGAAAGACTCATTGTTTTTGCTACTAACGCTGAGATGTTGGCGCATGTGTCTCTAATCTGCATGTATCTGATTATTACTAGTCATAATCGGTTGCACTTGGATCCTTGGCACCTGTGTATGTCTATAAAGTCATCAGGTAGATTTCAATGGTAATGTTTATCACCTCTGCTAATTAGCATGATGTAAATTTCCCATGCTTCCTCCTCAAATATAATACATTTAAAAAAATTGTTGATTTTTTTTTGGTGTGTGTATCACACAGACCATCCCAAACCATCTTATTCTACTATACACTGACTTCCCAGATGGCACCCTCCCATAGCCTCCCTCCCCCAACTAGAGCCCTTATACTCTGATATCCCTGCTACTGTCTGCTATGTTGTTGGCACCCCCAGCCATTCCCCACTACTTGTCCATCTGGTGAATCTAGTCAGTGTATCTAGAGGTCTTTGTGTTAGTAGGGTCAGCTGTTCCTCATCTAGCAGTAATCGATATTCCTTATTTCTTTAGACAAGTTCCCAGTTCTATGCTGGGTTACTATCTGGGAATCCCTTTGGTCACCCTGAAGAACAACTCAAAAGAAGGTATCTCCTGTCTGGCATTGTTGCTTGTTATGTACCCTTTAGCTATACATATGGACTCTTAAGAAATTATATTGGCTCCTTTAATCTTTGGTTATACTTTCCTTTTGGGTGTTTAAGGCCATACAGTTGGCCTAGGTAAACCAATTTCTTTTTACTTTTAAGATCATTTGTGGATCTGTTCCTCAGGGGTCACATGGGCTTGGGAAGAACCCCAGGCTCCTTTCTTTCACCAGTTCTGCCTATGTGAAGATGAGTCAAAGGTCCTGCTCAACCATGGGAGGCAGGGTCTTATTTAGCCCAAGGTTTTCCTCTGGCTCAGTATGAAGCTGAAGATGCCTTTGAACTCCTGATCCTCTGGTCTCCACCTCCTGAGTGTTGTTTTTATAGGCATATACCACAATGCTTGGTTTTAGGTGGTGCTAGGGATCAAACCCAGGGCTTCAAGTACACCAGACAACTGAGCTACATTCCCAGACCTATTGTGTGGTATGTTGTTCTAGCAGACTGAATGGACTAAGGCATTAGTACAATAGGTGAGGCCCCACCCTAGGAACCTTTACCTCTACTGTAGAGGAACATGTGACTGTAGCACTGAATGAGTGTGTACAAACACAGCATTCTGTTCCCAAAGACTCAATGATTTCAATTTGGAGGCTTCTTTGTTATGCTGAAATAATACTCTGATAATTACAAGTAGACTAGATTGGTAATATTCAAGGTGAAAAGGCTGTATGGAAACCTGTAATCTTGTAACCTCAGTAAAAATTATAATTAGAGGGGGTACTAGAACACAGGGGACATGAAAGATCAGGGGAAGAGTACGCTGGGTTAAAGGTTTAAAGGGGGGATGGGGGTAGGATGATGAGGAAAGTAGAAGGTACTGGGTAGGTTAACCCAAACTAATGATGCATGAAGAATCCTTATGGAAATCCAGTAGTCCATAAACTAATAAAAATATAATATAAAAAGGGTTTTTGATCAGAGGTACTTTGCACTGGAGAACAGTACTATTCCCAGAAGACATAGGTTATTTAATGAATTCTTGCCGTCAGGCATGGATTACCTCCATACAAGTTATTGGTCAGGAAGGCCCCAAAGGCACCCAACACAGCACAGGCTATTTTCCTTGCACTTGGTTGCCCACAATCAGTAAATAGTGACTTTACTGCTGAAGACACTGCCCAATTTGGTTGTATGACACTGAGAAATCAATCCAAGATCAATCAAGAAACTCCCTCCCTGTGGGCTAGCTTTCACAATGCTTGAAGGGGCTACACAGGCTGCTGAGGGAGAAAATACATCAATGGTCACACCCAGAGATGAACCCTGAATGCTACAATACTGATCTGTTATGTTAGGGTTGTCCACGGATACAATAGTGCATGACAAGTTATGGAGGGTAACCAACTACTTTCTGATTGGATTTGTGGCCTGCTGAAAAGGTTTCATGTATGGTACTGTAAACCTGTCAAAACCCCATGACTGGGAGATTATAGCCCTATGGGAGAAGCTACTTGTTTTGTTTCACCAAATGGTCATGTTGTCAACCTGCCTTCTTTTCTTTTTTTAAAAAATTTTATTTATTATTTTTATTTTATGTTTATGTATGTATTGCCTCCATGTATGTGAGTGCACCTATGTCATGCAGTGCCTGCAGAGGTCAGAAGAGGCTGTTGGAGGCCCTGGGACTGGAGTTACAGACAGTTGTTAGCTGCTATGTGGGTGTTGGGATTCGAACCCAGGTCTTCTTCAAGAACAACCAGTGATCTTAACTGCTGAGCCATCTCTCCAGCCCCCTCAACCTGCCTTCTTAATATTTATGTTTACAACCATAGATTTTTGCTGTTTCCAACTTTATTCAGAGATGTTTCTTTTTGCAGTGAGTAGTGACTCATACCTGGTTAAAGTGCTGAGAATAAGTGACTGTGATTACTTACCTGTAGAAGGGTCATCTATATCAACCTCCCTGTATCTAAGATTCAGTGAACATTGTGGAATAATAGGGAGAAAGAATGTAAGAGCTGGAGGATGGGGGAGAGAGCTGTGAGGTGCTGTCTTCTGGACAGCACATAACGGATACACACATCTACTCACAATAGCCTGTGGATGTCAGCACAAGGCCTGCACACGATCAAGCCAGTTAAAATTCTAGCATAGATGGGGGAGGGCTCTTATAGTACTACCCCTGCTTGAGAAGCTATTGGCAGTTGATGGCTTTTGAGGGAGGACGAGTCACTTTTCTTTGGGGATTTGGCTGCTAGTAGGTTGTCTATGCTCCAGGGGGTCTGCATGTGCATATGATCTGCCCTAATTGGACTCAGGTAGTTAATAATAATAATGATAACAGTAATAGTCATAAAAGAGAACATAAATTTGGAAGGGAGATGAGTTTGGAGGCCCAGGGAGGAGGGGGATTGGAGACAGGTAGTGGCAGGTACATAAGATAAAATTGCCTTGTATAGTGCTCACTTTGGCAGCGCATATACTAAAAGTGGAATGCTACTGAGATTAACATGGCCCCTGTGTAAGGATGACACAAATTCACAAAGCTTTCCATCTTTTTTAATTTAATACTTTTTATTGAGCTTTTGTAATTTCATTCAAGAGTTCTTAATCAAATTTAGATCCCCTCCCCTATCCACGCATCCCCCATTCCTTCACCAAACCTCATGTATTCCGTCATACATGTTAAGTCCTATCCAATGAGGCATTTGTGCCCAGATGTCCGTAAATTTGTCCACTGGAGTCTAGTCAGCCCTTCTAGAAATTGTATGTAAGGCATACCCTATCTTACCAAGTGTTAATCAGTCTCCAATAGTTCTCAGTCTAGGGCTGCCCAGTACCCATTTTTCTCCTCCCCTCTGGGCCCTTGTTTAATTGAGTTGGCATGGGTCCTGTGCCTGATGCCACCATTACCACATGTTCACATGTGCAAGCTTCCAGTGACCTAAAAGCCTCTGCTTCCCTGTGTTCATGAACCAGTCCTGGCTCTTACAATCTCTCTGTCCCCTCTTCCATAGTGGTCCCTGAGCTGTGGGTGGGTGAGTTTCAATACAGGAATCTTATCTAAGGATATACGCTCTGCAGTCTCTTATTCTTTAAAACTTGGTCAGTTGTGGCCTTCTGTGTGCATCACACTCTGTTGTATAAGGGAGCTTTACTGGTAAGAGTTGAGGGATGCATTAGTTTTCTATCCCTTGCTTTCCGTATTTTTTAATGTATATTTTTATTGAGTTTTTGTGCATCTCATACAATAAGTCTTAATTATATTTAAACCCCTCTCCTCATCTGAAGCTCACCATAGGTCCTCCCCGCACTATATTTCATGCATTCTGTCATATATGTTAAGGCCTTTTTGGTCAAGCTTTTGTACTCAGATGCAAATTCATCCATTGGAGTCTAGTCAAACTATCTAGAGTCACTCCCTTAAAGAAGATTAACTTTCGGGCCTGGAGAGATGGCTCAGTGATTAAGAGCACCGACTGCTCTTTCAGAGGACCTGGGTTCGATTTCCAGCACCCATATGGCGGCTACGAACCATCCTTAACTTCAGTTCCAGGGGAATCTGAAACCCTCTTCTGACCTCTGTGGCATTGCATGACACAGGTGCACTCACATTCATGCAGGCAATACACTCATACACATAAAATAAAAACAATAAATAAAAAAAATTAAAAAAAGATCAACTCTCCCTCACCCAGCATTAGTTCCTCTGCAAAGCTTGGGGTCTGCTGCCCATTTTCCAAGTTCTATGCTGGGATTTTTTCTGATTGAGTCAGCATAGATTTTGTGCATCCTGTCACCATTGCTGCAAATTCATTTGAGCAAGTTCCCAGAGGCCTGAAAGCCTCTGTCCTTACTGTATGCTAAATATAGATTCTTATATTTTTAGATAAGTATGCCAAACACAGCTCATCAAAGAAGCTTCTTTTGCATCAGACGGAGACTATTCAGAGTTCCACAACTGGTCGCACATAGAGAATATGTATCTGGTATCTGAGAGATGCCCAGCCCAAGGCGATACAGCTACAGTGGAACCTCTACACCTAAGGCTCACGGAACACAGTGGAACAGGGAGCAAGGAGAATACTAATGCATCCCTCAACTCTCATCTGCTTCCTCATGCTTTTCATACTAAAAAATTATGTAATATATATAATGTGTATTTGAAAATATATATGAGTATGTGTTGTGTATCTGAAGGCTATATAGTAAGACACACAGTATCAGACAGGAGAAACCTTCTTCAAGTTGTTGGTCAGGGGAGTCCAAAAGACATTCAAAATAGCACAGGGTATTTCCCTTGATTGCCTCCCAGAACTTGAAATTAAGACCGTATTGCTGAAGAGAGGACATACTTTTTTTATACAGGACTTGGGGCAATGGGGCTGGAACTGACTTGGAAGCTTCCTTCCTGAAGATTAGCTTTCATAGTATCAGAGGATAATATGCAAGTTGCTAAGGGGAAAAAAAAATCAATCACTGGTCCAACCCACTTGTAAAGCCTAATAACCACAAAAATGATCAGCACAGCAAAATATCTCTATTGGTGCAGTAGTGGCACTTTTATCTTGAGGGTAATCAACAGCTATCTAATTGGACATAAAGCCTGCTCAATGGGAAGGAACTCATGTGTGGTGCTGTAAACATACTTAAATACACATGACTGGAGAAATTACAGATCCTAGAGAAAAACCCTATGTCTGTCACATCCCTAGACAAACCTGACTTCTTACCGTATGCTAAATATGTATCGTTATGTTTACAGACAAGTATACCTCTTACCACTCATCAAAGAAGCTTCTTTTTCAAAAGACAGAGACTATTTCAGAGTTTCACAACTAGTCAAATGCAGAGAACAAGTGTCTGTAAGATGCCCATCCCTAAGTGACACATCTACAATGGAACACCTAAGGCTAAGGGAACATAGTGGAACAGGAGACAGAGAGTATTAATGCATTTCTCAACTCTCGCCAGTGAAGCCTTCTCACCCAACAGAGGGTGATTAACATAGAAAGCCAAAAGTGCCCAAAATGTAGAGTATGGAACTTCAGAATACACATCCCTGGATAGGATTCCCATATTAAATCTTGTCCATCCAGAGCTCAGGGCCATTGCAGAAGAGAAAACAGAAAGACTGTAAGAACCAGGAGTGGTGGAGGACTGCAAGGAAACAGAGTCTTCCAGGCTTCTGGGAAGTTGCTCATATGAACCTCCAGCAATGGATGACAGCATGCACAGGACCCATGCAAACACAAACCAGACAAAAACCCAGCATTGAACTGGGGAAATGCATAAGAACTCCAACCTTAGCTGAAGAACTATTGGCGACTGATCACTTCAGATGAGAGAGTTGGAGTGATGCTAGATCACTAGGCTCCAGTGGAAGAACTCACATCAAGGGACATCTGGGAACACAAAGTTTACTTGATAAACCTTGACATATATGACAGAATGCATGAGATCCAGAGGGCGGGTTATGGAGAGGTACCAATAGGTGAGAGGTTCTAAATATGATTAAGATGTACTGCATGATTTGCACAAAAATTCAGTTATAGTTTAAAGAGTTTGACATAGTGATAACAAGTGAGATTACAGATTACAACCCTTTGTTTGGTATCGTACCATAACACATATTCATTAAGCACTAGTTGTATTATACATTATTACTTCTGTAAACCTAGTTCTCTGGGAATATGTGCATTAAGATAAAGGTACCAGTGTTTAATCTCTTTTTGAATGTAATACTCACTTAGGAGTAAAATGTACTTCTAAAACTAAACTTTCACAGTTGTAATTTTTCCATCCTCTACAAGTGCTACTTTCCCTTTGGGCAGCACATAATTAGTTGATTTACAAGTTTCCACAGTACTTAGTTGTGCTCATTGGTTATATTTCACCAATAACTTTCATAAAAAGAAACTGACTTGAGATCACACGAGAAGCCAGGTCATAAGGAAGAGCAGGGCATGCCCATAAATCAAATAATGGTGACAGTTGGGCAACTGGGAGCCAGATGAAGGAGAGAGATGGCCTCTAAAACACAGTTGAAATAATTTCCAAACACTTGAGCAATCCACATTTTAGTCCTCTCAAGTAGCATCCATTAATTTTTGTAAGTGGCATGTTTAATGGATGCCTTTATTGCAAAACAAAAATTCCCAGACTATCGTCATGAAGGTATAAAACACACAAGGAATTAATAAAATACCAAGTTCACAAGAGGTAGGTAGTCACGAAATCATATTTAGACAAGACAACATGGCCAAAGTGCGGAGATAGCCTGGTGAGAGCAATTAAATTTCGCTTGGGGGCATTGACAAAGATTTCACCAGCGAGGGGATGCTGCTTCAGGATTGTCATGTTAGAGGAGAATCCGGCCTTCTGGGGAAATTGACCTTACTGAACTATACACCCTAGAGTTTTGTTTTTTAAAGGATATTTTTTTTTAAATACATGTATGTATGTATAGCTTGTATATGTGTAAGTGCACCCATGTTGTGCAATGCTTTGGAAGTCAGAAGAGGACATTGGATTCCCTGGAACTTTACTGAACTATACACCCTAGAGTTTTGTTTTTTAAAGGATATTTTTTTTTTTAAATACATGTATGAATGTATAGCTTGTATATGTGTAAGTGCACCCATGTTGTGCAATGCCTTTGGAAGTCAGAAGAGGACATTGGATCCCCTGGAATTGGAGTTACAGATCGTTGTTAGCCTCTATGTGGGTGCTGGGAACTGAACCTGAGTCCTCTGTAAGAGCAGCGTTCTTCACCACTGAGCCATCTCTCCAGCCCCACATCCTGTAGTTTTATGGTAATTCTTTCATAACTATTGTCTTACTGGAACTGTTTAATTCTTGAAATTAGTAGTCATAAAGAACAAAAATCACGTTCTGAAAAACATTGTTAGAGGCAGATGTGACTTCTGAATCTAGGATTTTATGATTCCACGCTTTTTTTTTTCGTTCCTAAACACTTCCATGACAATATTCTATGAAAATATCTTCAAGTGGCCTATTTATGTTATTTTGAGAGAGAGTAGCAAGTTGAATGCAGATTAAGAGGGTAAACGTCACTGGAGCGTGTCATTTGGGGAAAGATAAAAGACTGAAAAGAAAATAAAGTTGGACTCTTTCATGTTCTGTTCTGTTTCAAGTTTAATTTCAATGTTTGTTTTCACACGTATTCATATTGCCTATACCCTTTCTTTTCACACCTAACTTACCAAATATCATCATCGACCACCCATGATCTGGATGCATTCTCTATTTCTCTTTCACTCTCAGCACTGTCTCCATATAAAAGCACCTAGTCATGGCTTTTAAAAATTCTCAATATTCAGACCAGGAAGGACAAAAATTATTTTTCCAAAGGCAGTCACCATATTTATTATTAATTATTACTTTTACTTTATGTGTATGAGTGTAATATCTGCATGTAGGTAGGTGCATCCATGTCATGAAATGCCTGCAGAGGTCAGAAGAGGGTATTCAGTCTCTTGGAAATGAAGTTACAGATGGTTGTCAGCTGCCATGTGGATGCTGGGAATCGAACCTGGG